CTTAAAAGGTCTTTTACTACTAGCCAAATACTAAAGACATACAAAAACTAAAAAAATTGTCCGTCATACTATATTTTATACGCTTATTTCAGGTGCCAAAAATCAGTGAAACATTACGCAAAAAAAAAATTATGTTTAATAACTTCATATATATAGTTAAAAACTATAAATTAGTGAAAATACAACGCTTATTTGAATTTCAAAGTTCAAGCATATCGGTTCAAAAAGATTGAAGTTATCAGACATTATCTTTAGAAGCACATCCTGCAGTACTTCAGCATACTTCGCCACACTGTGTGATTTTTCCTTTACTGCGTCACAAACAAACACTTTATTTATAATAATATTAAATTTATATATAATATTTCAAAACATATAAATATAGTATAGTTAATAATAATTTATTAAGCTTGATTAATATAAATAAAGTTGAAATAGTATGTAATTTACTTTTTATGTGCCACAAATTTGAAGATTGTACTTATTTGGAACGTGATCCATTTCCTCGTTGTGCCGCATGTCTGCAGTTGGGATTCAGGAATTAGTGAATGATAAGTTCAACATAACACAAATGTGTTATTCAATTTAAGTACACATTCCGGTTGAAAATCGCTCTAATAGGTTCAATTCAACAGATCAAGCTCCTCCGTCGTCCGTTGAGTAAGCACCAAAAGTCTTGAAGCCAAATTCGCAGTTCGTTGCCACTTCAGAACGTAATTAGTGCTAACAGTAAATGGACACACAAAAGTTGGGAGTGCAGTTAGGAGTGGGCTACGCACCGAAGATGAAGTTGTTTAATGACTTAATAAGGACTTTTATACGAATGTGCTTAATTTTGGTTGAGCAAAAGAAATTGAATTGCAACTACTGTTGCTCGAGTGGTGCACAAAAAATCCTAAATTAAAGACGAAAATGCCCTAATTAAATGAAACATCTTAATCAGAAACTTTTTCAACAGATTTTCTATTTTATTTATTTATTTCTTCATTTAGTGTTTTGTGTTATAAATTTTTTTCTAAGCAATATTTATTTTGTAAAAAGTTAATAGAAAAGTTGGTAACACTTTGCAATTAGGTGAAAGTATATAGAGCAGATGCTATTTTTCCTTTTAGCTTTTAAGTGTGAGAGACAAGTGTGTGTGCGGGATTTTTTCAATTTGCCTAAGTTAGTTTGCAAAGGCAAATGAGAAAAATTAAGAAAATCGCAAAGTCTACTGCCGGGTCTTCTTCTTCTGCCGGTCTTCTGCTCAGCGCCATTGTAATAAGAAATATTTCTGCAACTCACAAATTTACTGCCCTCATTAAAACCATTTGTTGCAGAGCACGAAATAAGCTCTCCTGCATATTAATTATTTACTTAAATTGCAGATATGAATTTCCGTGCTGGGGCGACAGATTTCACCGAGTACGGAATTGCAGAGTACACTTATTTGAACCGCCACGTATCTGCAAGGAACATAAAATCATTTTATGTTGCACAAAAGTATTATAGCTCATGGAATCACTTCACATTCTAATCCCGCTCTCATTAGCCTATACGAGTATTTATTAACGCAGTTTTAGCCAATATATTGCGACCATATACCAGTTCTGAAATATGTCTTTTTAACTTGAATTGTTAACATTTTTCAGAAAACTGTATGGGAAAATACAACAAATATTTTCAAATGATTGATAGTAACTTCCATACTTCTATATTTTCATATTCTGGAACAAAACCCACTATAACCTATTTGAATCAAAAAGATTGAGACAAATATGAGGCAATAATCCTTAATAGATGCAGTGACGTTGTGTAAAGCTCCTTTCAACTGACCCAGTCTTAAATAAGTGTATGTGCGTGTTTAAGAGTAAAGTTGCAATTAAAAAAAAACCTATTATTTGATTATACTTCAATATCTTATTATATACAAAGAATAACTTATCTTTGAATGAGATGTTGATATATTTAATTGGTATTACTATTCTTAACTATAATTCATACTAACATATAATATCACTTGTATTAAATATGCAGCAACCGTTAACAGTTAAAGTGGCTATGGGAATAAATCACATTAGATAGAGCAAAAGCATTAAAAATGGTCAAGTCAAATATCACACATCTATAATATGATCTAGCTATATTCAAATAATTCAATTACATTCACTTCACTTCCGACATAAAAGAAAATTAACTAGCAAATAAACAAGACGAACCGATTCTAACACGGTGCCATATTGACCACAACCTTTTCTCGGCTTGGCTAAATCCATTGTGAGACTAGCTATTGCAAGTTGAATTCAATTTGTATCAAACAATAATTTAATATTATCTGAACCAGTAAAAGTATTCAAATGAAAATTTCCTTTAATATAGTTTCAGAGAATGTATATTCATTAAAATGAACCATCACTTCAAACGGCTTACCGGAGTCACTATAAATTGTGAGCCCAAACATGTTCAGCTATTCCATTTTTTCAGATATCTCAAGAACTTTAATAGGCAGAAAAATAAATAGTTGTACTGATTTAGAAAACATTAAATCTTCATATATCATTATCACGTTCAAGATTTAATTCCTCCACACTATGTATATGACGGCTGTAGGCACACCAAAGTTATTGTACTTGAAATCAATGGAAAGTCTAACTTGTCTTCCCTTTGCTGTAAGGATTAAAAACTACTAATACAATATGCGAGGGCCAAATATCTCATTTGTCTTGACTTCTTTGATAATGACTTATATCCACTTTGTTTGGAGAACGATGATACTATGTTTGATATGATGATACTACGTTTTCTATATTTTATTTCGTCTTCTCAAGATTCAGTGAGTTTTGTATGATTTTTGCGAGTCTTATAGTTTTTATGATATATGGTATGTTTTTCAAACAAACTTCGCTTTCTTAGAAGAGCAAACCGTTTTTTAAGTATATCGGACTGGTGTTTACAATTTAACGAATCTTCACGGTTTTTTTCAATACTCGCATATAATTCTCAAAACTAGATTTAGGATTTTAGTAGATTAAAGTCTTTTAGTGGATTAAAGTGACAGACAAACCTTACGTTTTATAGATAATTTAATTTATATTTAGTATAGGTATAAAACCTCTAGGTGGCTCTGGAATCCATGAGTCTGGAAACTCATGGGAGTTTGCTTCAGAATGAATGAGTAGTTATACAAGCTTCGTTACTACGATAACATTGATAAGGCTTGGCTTGGTCATGTTGTGCAAATGCATGGATGCTTCAGCGGAAAAAGTATTTGAAGCAATATTTGTAGGAAAAAAATGCAAGCGAGGATAATATTTTCAATGCAGAAGTTAAGCTGAGAGAGCACTAAAGAAGTTTGTTATAGTGGAATGGAGAAGTTGCTCACACAACAGAGATATCTAGAGAGGAATATTGTGTCTGGCCGAAACCTGATAATGGGTTGTTATGACCATATAAATATGTAAATATGTATATAATACATTATTATTTATGTTTGCACGCAGTAGAGGAGTGTTGCGTTATATGGAGACCCTATAACGAGTTATTGGGGTGAAATAAATAAGTAAATAAATTTATAGTGTTAAAAGGTGTTAATGTCTGTACACATAATGATATGGTTAAAGGGTATATGTATAAATATATAGCTTTTCCAAAGAAAGCTTTTCTAAAGAAATTATTAAAAATTTTGAGACACAGAAACTGACCAAACATATTATGAGGATTCTTAATTATTTAATTCATCAACCTTTTAATAACAGTTATTAAAAAATATATACCTCACTGATGATGGGAATTTGGCATTACTCGAAACAGCTGTAGAGTAAGCCAAAAATTTAATTAATTAAAATAATATAAAAGA